CCCTAGTAACCTTAGTAATGCTACGGAGGTTGTTATAGTCTGTATAGACCTGTATTGTATATTAAGCCCTATCGAGGTAGTACCTCTAATACTTAAAGGCCTCGATAATAGCTAGGAGCTCTTGCTCGTAGGTCTCGTAGCGACGTTTAGTATTAATTATCTTCCTCGAGAAGAAGGCAATTAGGTACTAGTAGGTGTTATTAGCCTACTATAATATAATAGCTAATATAGCGAACTATAAAGCGTTAGTCTCAATTCGGATCTGTTTGCTTAGTACGAAATAGTGCAATAAGAGGACTTTAGTAAAGCGTTGCTTTAGGCCGTTAAAAGCGGCTTGTATTTTGTTAGTCTACCTAAACTCTCTAGATAGATTAGCCTTAGTTTTAGTAAGCTTAGTTAGGGGCATTATATGCCGTAAATAGCCCTTAATAAAGCGGCGGTAGAAATTAGCGAAGCCGAGGAACGATTGAAGCTCCTTAATAGACGTAGGAATAGGCTATTTAGTAATTGTTTTGATCCGATTAGGATTAGCCTTAACACCCTCGGTTAATACGAGGAAGCTAAGGAAGGACACCTCTTTAGCAGCAAAGGTGCATTTAGAAGGTTTGTAATATAGTCTATAGGCTCGCAGGCGGTCGAGGACCTTACGCACTACGGCCTAGTGTTCTATAATATTAGGTAAATGTGTATAAACTAGGATGTTATCTAGGTAAACTATATAGAGATAGTCTAATAGGCCTAAAAGGGCCCGATTAATATAGGACTAGAATGTTATAGGGGCATTAGCTAGCCTAAATAGTATAACTAAGTACTCGAAATAGCTATAGCGAGTACGGAAGGCTGTCTTCTATTTATCGCCCTTGCGAATACAGATGCGGTAATAGGCGTCCTTAATGTCTAATATAGTATAGTAGTAGGTACTAGAAAGGCGATCGAGGGTCTTATTAATAAGCGGAAGTAGATAGCGGTCCTTAATAGTAATAGCATTAAGTCTACGGTAATTAACGCATAATCGTAGGCTACTATCCTTCTTTAGAACAAACAGGATTAGTATACTAGCAGGGCTGTTACTATACCGTATCCGGCTATTAGCTAGGTTTTCTTCTAGGTACTTACGTAATATAGCAAGCTCGCGCTTACTAAGGTTGTAGAGTAGTCTAAATAGTAAAAGGAACCTCTTTGCCCTCTATAATATTAATCTTATAATCCGTCTCTTTAAATATAGGCAATGTCGATGCTAGGTAGTGTTTAAACACATTAATATAGGTCTCTCGGATAGGCTCTAGTATACGAGCAAGCTAATTAGGATTACTAGGAGGCACAGGTTTATCGTTATTACTACCGAGCAGATCGGTAGTCGGATTAGCTAAGGCGGAGGCTAGTGTTAGGTTGCTAATAAACAGGACCCTAATATCGTTAGGGCACTCGCTAACATTAATGTGTTTAATGTCCTCTTTCCTAGCGATTCTAGATCGCTACTTCTAGAGGCCTAGGTCTATAGCTATAGCGTAGTATTTAAGAATAGGGTTGCTAATAATAATAGTAGCTCCCCTATATAGGTTGTCTATATCTACTACGTAGGTAGTAAAGTCTAGTAGGCGTTCATTTCCGAGGTCGTCCTTTAGAACTATAGGAATATAGTAGGCCCTATAGGTTAAGTGCCGAGCGTTATTAAACTAAGCAAGGGTTGGCAGGTTAGTCCTCGGCAGTTGTCGAAGGTCTAATTGCTTAGCTAGGCGATAGCTAATAAGGGCACTAACTGAATTTCCTAGATCTAGTATAACCCTAGTTTAATAGTTAGTGCCCTTCGTGTCCTATACAAGGTAGGAGCGTATTATAGCTAGCACAATGTCGATAGTCTTACGCCGTACAAGGCTAACAGTTAGTGCGGCGCTTACTCTTTTTTCGACTAATTAAAAGAGCCGACTAGGGTAGTATTAGCGGCTAAAAGGTGTTTCCTATACTTAGCGGAAGCACGGTTAATTCGGGCCTAGTCCTTAGGTTTGTCGTATTAGCCTAGTAGATAGCTAGTGCTATTATAATTGAAGCACTTCAATCCGGTTAGTAGACTGCCGTAGCTATTGTTATTATTAGTAGAGCGGTTAGCATTATAGGGATACGAGTCCCTTCTACGGCCCCTATCGCGGCCTCCTCTATATAGCCGCCGGCTACGGCCTCTTCTACGGTCGTTGTTACTGTTCCTACTATTAGCATTGTTGTCCTAGTAGGAACCTTAGTTTCCTCCGTAGCTACGGTTGCTACGGTTAGTACTAGCTAGTCGGATCCTCGATTCTAGTCGTTATTAGAGCTAAATAGCCCGTTCGGCTGTTTCTACTTCGACTATAAATTGAATGCGTGTTAGATTAGCTTGTTCGAATATACGGCGACGGTCTAATTTGAGGATAAGTTCCTATCTAAGCTTAGGGCGTATTTCCGAGATCTATATAGAATTAGTCTTAGGCGGAAGGTCGTCTTTAAGGGTTTTCAAATAGGCTTTAAATAAGCGAGCCGATTGATTAGTCTTCTATTTAGCTCGAAGATACAGGTCCTAAGTATATTGTTACCTTAGTATAGGGTTTCTAAGGGTGTCTAGTATAATAGTTTTGTAGGTTTGCTACTAAATAGCAGTCTAGTTATTAAGGGAGTCGAAATAGTTATCCTATATGCGCTTTAGGTCGCTATTAATGTACTATATAGCGTGTATGACTAAGGAGTAGTCGTCTAGTAGCGCTCTTAGTGCGTTGCGCTAGTTAAGTTTACAGTTACGAATGTAGTCGTTGTACTGCTTCCGACTAGAGCTATTAAATACAGTATAGTCCTTAAGTTTAGTATCCTTCTTTTAGATAGGTAGTAAAGAAGGTCCTACTATTAGCTTAGCAGTAGTTGTTAGAGATTCCTAGAGGCGGCGAATCTCGAGAAGATTATCCTTTAGCTATTGTTCTTAACGTAAGGCAGTAAGCCTGTTTTAGGTAGCCTCTTAAAGCCTCGCTACTAGCTAGGGGCTAAAGGCTAGTTAGCTATATCGACGGTTAACAATATTGTTAAGAATGTCGTCGATAGGCAATTCTAGGTCGTTACCTAGAATTATAGGTTCTTCTTTAGCAGGTCCTATAGTAGGCTCTTCGGTAGGAGGCACTTTAGTAGGTGCTTTAGTAGGCACTTTAGTAGGCACTATGCTACTAGCGTTGTTATTACTAGCGCTGCTAGCGGTAGCACGGTTGTTATTGCTTCGTAATAAGCCGGCTATTATAATAGGGGGTAACACTAATAATGTATTATAGGCCCCTAAGATACGGATATAGCGGAATTAGTAGATATCGGCTTAGTACGATTAACTTAGTATAATAGGCCGTATAGAAGGCCTTGCTTAATAATTGGTACGGTTGTTTCGATAGAATAGTACGTATAGGTCCCGTTCTTCGGGCGTAATATAGTTAGATTAGTCTTATTCGTAGCTATACCGCTAAAAGCTTGAAATAAGGACTATCTAGCTGCTGCCCTTAAAGGGTAGATCGAATACTGTATAAGAAGGTATATTAGTAGGTAGATAGGGTAGTAGTAGGTACAAGTAGTATTCGATAAGGATCTAGGAGGAGAGGGAGGAAGGTAGGAGAGTTAGCCTAACGCTAAGCGCTAAGCCCTGCCTAAGGCATTAAGACCCTAGCTTTACTCGGCCTAGTTATATGCTAATCACGTATAGCCTCTTTAGTCCTAACATACCTTAAGGTAGGACTATAATACCGGCGATACAACTCGTATAACTAAACCCTAAGCCCTAGCTAAGACTACGCTTAGCGCTAGGCTCGTTTCTTAGAAGGCTTATTAATATATATATCTAAGACCTTAACTCCTACTACTAATCTATAGCTCCTTAAAAACTTAGAGCTCTTCCGTCCGCGATTTAGATAGTAGTAGTATAACCTAGTCTCCGACTTAAAGTACGCCTACTATATAGCTATATATTACCTATAGTTAGTTAGTTAGTTAGTTAGTTTATTATATTTATAAGCCTATCTAAAACCCGTTAAGCTACGCGGCTTAGCCTTCTAGACTCGAGGTTATAAAGAACGGAATCTATATATTACTACTAGGACCCCTATCTATTCCTTCTATCTAAACCGCCGTCTATATATTTATTCTTTTATAACTCTCGTTAAAAACCCTATTATATAGGAAAAAGATAGTTAGTCCTTAAGCCGGCGACGGCATCTACCCTACGCGGCCGAGTATAGATAGGTCGTAGCCCCTATTAAGGGAGAATTCTCTTTTATTATTTATATCTCTTAAAGCCCGAGGCCGACTTAGATAGTAATCTATAATCGCGATCGCGTCGCGACGATAGACTTATTGTTTAAGTATCTTTAAGAGCGTTGTCTCTTTATCGGTAAGTAGGAACGTATACTAATAGACGTCCTAGAAAGAGCCTCCTTTAGAAAGGAACTCGCGCGCCGTATATATCCTTCTTACTTTCCCTTCGAAGAACGCGTCTCTTTTTATTTATTTCGGACGATCTCGACTCGAGTATACCGAAGGAAAGGAAGGGCGTCTCGATAGGTATAATATAGAATATTCCGTCGTCCTAGGATTCGGGGGACTTCTGTTTATTAGGCGTACTATTCCGCGGCAGGTACGACGCGTCGTCGAGAGACTCTAAGAGTACTTCTCCCTCCGACGAGTTCGTTCTACGCCCCGGCGGCGGCAAAGACGCAGAGGCGACAAAAGTCGCGTCCTTATAGCATTCGCGATACGGACCTCGCAGCCCCGATACTGCTATCTTGTGGGTATGGTATAGAGCTCGAGCGGGCTGATCCGCATTGCCCACGCTGTCGTTGAAAAGAGGCAGGTAGCATGTGTTTCGCCATAGAATATCTGAGGCTGAAATGTGTCCAGACGGCAGCCCTCTGCTGTACGACTTTGGATCACTCAAGAACAGAGCACCCTTGCATCTATGCTACGAGGCACAATATCGGCATTGGACAAAGGAGATGGATCTTCCTGTGATGCACCCTTCGCTGATTTGTTTTATACGATCGACCTCGTTCGAAAGCCGTGCAAATTTGCTTATCGGCAACGCAACAATTGCGTATTCTAAGTGGGATCGAGTGTCCTATGGATGTACCAAACAGGCCTAGACCACTCAGCGCATCTGAATCGAATGAGGATCCCGCAATACCGGCGCAATGCCGCGAAAGTGGGCAACGATGGCGAACAGCCGCCAGAACGATCTGTTCCCAGCCAGTGAAGATCCTCAGCCTCACGGGATTTATTTGCGCATTCAGTCTTCCCATCGTGCTAGGCTCAGTGTCCGGATTTCTGGAAAACAGGATGATGCTAGCAGGTTGCAACTCTGGTAGCGCATGCCAATCTACAGTCAGCATTGTGCAAAGGCGTATCGCTCAGGTTTGGGACATCAGCAAGATTCTGGATATAACGACCGGTTTTGGTCAACTCAATCTCGGAGCTGCCAAGGCCATTGACATCGGAATCGCTTACTATACTTTCTGCAAAGCTTTAATCTGTGTTATAGAAACGCACGAAGCTAGCTGCGATATCTACGCAGCGGCTGCTTTCTCCACTGGTTCTCTCGGCGGCGCTCTGACACTATTGCAACACTCAATGTTCGGACCAACCTCCAAAAGTCTGTTTGCACGCTATCTCATCCTAGCTATGGTTCTCACTGGTCTTTGCACTCTCGCACTGCCGACTGTCATTTCGGCATCAACATCCTACGGTGCGAGATCGAGGGGTAGGATCAAGTATGGAGAAGACTGGGTGTCATTTGAGAGTTGGCGTCCGTCCTTCGCGGTCGTCACAGATGGCTCTCGCGTTGGTCTAAGAGATGGCTACATCATACCTCAGGGTGGCTACGCAAACGACAAGGCACTGATGGACTGTGAGTTTTGCATCGTATCACTTTCTGATATAGGTGCGGTTGGGCTGACTGCAGCCAGATTACTATGCATTCATCTCCAAAGACGAGATTGGACCATTTGCGGAGAAGAGTACGGCATTCCCTCTCAATACGACTGCGTACAGTGCAGATCATACGAACCCCATCTATCAAATCGAGGATAGAGCAAGCAGCATCAGACTCGATGGCAAGCTTTGGAACCTCGACAGACTGTCTCTGAACATCGTACCATTGCCTCGGAAACCCTGGTTCTACAAGGATCTTGTTGATTCGCCCGAAAATCTCGTCAGCCTGGACATGGCTAGATGTGATGCCACGGATCAATATCAATGGGGGTTCTCGTTTCTGATCCTCTTCATGTTCAGCATCGTCAATGCCTGCGCTGCAGCCATCTTGTACGCGATCCATCTTCTAACAATTTTCCGAAACCATGTAATTAGGCTCGGAAGACATGAGCCTCATGTGTGGCGAGCTGTGGCAGATTTGAGTGTCGCTCTTGGAAAGATTACCGGTGGCGAACACCCTCGAATGGACACGAGTCGGTTGAAAGAAATCATGAAGGGCAGTAGCATCATGTTGAGTGCTGAGTCAACAGCTACTAACGACAGAGTCTGCTCATCCTCTTCGCAGCGCGGTCTCGGTATTGAGCCGACTCATCGTTCCGTGAGGAGAATGCATACGGTGTGATCTTACCACGACTGCAGAAACTGGTCGTCTCTGGAGCAAGCACTTCCAAGTTGATCATGACGGTTAGATCCGCGTCGCGAAGATCTTTGTGCCATTCATAGAGACTTACTAATACAGGAGCAATGAAGGCAATATGATATGATTGCTACCTCAGCCACATTGGCGGCAAGAGGCAGTTCATCTCCGCTAGCGTCAGAGGATTTGCCTTCAAGAACTCCTCTAATGTTAATAGCTTGCCTCGAGCATTCTTTGCAGCCCATGCGACTTGATCCTCGGTGTCAGGGCCGAAATAGCCATATTCGGCCGCAAAACAATATGCACCAACGAAGAAATCCACTATGAACGCAACTTTCCGACCAAACTCTTCTGCCGATACTTCTTTGAAGACTATCTTCTGACCTGCGGACATCGACAATTGCTTTGCGATATCTTCAACGCTGTAGAGGGCCTCTGCAGCACACAAGCGCTGGCCCTCATACTTTGCTGGTTCGGCCAATATTGCGCCGACGAATTTGCCAATATCTTCGACTGCAGCAATCAACGGATATGAAGTATTTGCTGCATGGGGACGGGACATGACCCAAGATTTATCGCTGTCTCTTTGTGCCGTCAAGAAGGGTTGCGACTGGAAGTTTTCCATGAAGAAGCCGAGAGACACGAAGGCACTTTTGATCGGCAGACCGCGAATGTACTTCTCGGCCTTAGCTTTGGCGTCGAAGGGGGTCACCTTTGCGTATTTGCCCTTGGAGATCTCAGCAACAGACGGCAACGTAGACCAAATGAAGTATTCGACCCCGTTCGATACAGCAACATCGGCTATGTTCTTGGCGGCGTTAAATTCAGCTTCGACCGCTTCTGGGCCCACAGATGGAACCGTAATTGCAAATATTGTGTGAGCGCCACTGAGAGCTTCCTGGAGAGACGCTCGATCGTTCCCGTCTCCTTGGACGACTTGGACTTGGACTTGCTCCTGCAGCTGCTTGGCTTTTTGTGACGCTGGATCTCGAGTGATTGCTCGGATGCTGTATAGCTGAGACAATTCTGGGTCGCACAAGACGTTTTTGATGATCGAACTTCCTTGCTGGCCAGTTGAGCCAAATACCGCGAGAATCTTGGACATTTCGTCGGGGTGACGGCGTAATCGAGTGTCAAGAGAAATGTATGGAGCTGACTTGCAGAAATGTTTGGAATCGCAACGACTATATACATGGCAGCGCTCATCCGACAATCGATCACGGAGCGACTTAATGAAGAGCCTTTCAAACCGGATGCCTTGCAGGAACGATGTGATTGGACGCTTTCGGGATGTTGTGTCAGAATTTGGCAGCTCACGTTGTTCAGCATAGGGCAACCGCAAGCCACACGACCATACATGGTACCAAGTTTAGGCGCTACGACAAGGTAATTGAGGGCTTGACAGTCTCGCCATCTTAAAATGGACAATCAAAGCCGATATCAGCTTTCTTGGTGCGGTGCTCTGCCAACATACCACCAAGCGAATGAGTCTCTTGGACTATACGATGATACGAGTAATGCATACACTTGCAGGAACCTTTTTTTCGTCACCACTCGAGTGCTCCAATGCTCTTTGTGCTCCATGCTGAAAGAGGCGGTCTTCCATTTCCGGGCATCCTTTGTCCAAAATACCATCACAGTTTTCTTTCGCAGTTTCCGCTTGTTCCATTGTCATTCCTTATGGAAACCTCGTCGCAGCGCGGAGGATAGACTAAACCCGATCGTTAAAAACGAAAGCATGCCTCCCACAGCTTGGAATACGTTCCGAAGTCATCACTGGAAACTCGAAGCAAATTGGCCAGGTGGTACGACATCGAAAACGAAATCAAGGCAGGTCAGCGCCGTATGGAAGTCCCTGGCAACTCGCGAAGCAAAAGAAAGAGAAGCTGCTAGTATCGCCAATGATCCCGCTCGAACTCTCGCGCAAAGTAGAGCAGCCGCCCGTCGCATCGCAAGAAACATCCCGCCTCCTTCTCCTCCTCCCGGTCCTCCTCCGGCTGTTCCTCCTCCGGCTGTTCCTCCTCCGCCCGTTCCTCCCGTTCCGCCCTATATTGAATTCCTGCTTGGACAGGACAATCGATCTGATGATGTCGATTCCCCCGTCCCACTCGATGCCGACGGTGCGAAATGGCTGGGAGGTTGGTCGATAGGAGGTCGCGAAAGGAACAAAGCTTGCCCCTGGTATCTTGTCGACGATGACGGCAATATCGAAGATAGAAAGATCGTGAAAGACACTTATCTCCGGGATATCTTGGATTGGACCGACATGACTCGATGGTCGGGCGATCCGAGAGAGGGCGGGCTACCGATGGAATATATTCTGCATAAGAGGCTGCTCGAAACGAACGGTAGCGAGCATTTTGCTGCAGTACGTGGATGTCGAGTGTTCGTCAGGCGCTGGATGTATCGATTTGTTATGGAATATTGTGATCAACGCGATACGATGGTATGTTACAACATTGCTTTTCTTTGAGATCGGATAATTTGCTTATCCGTGCTACAGGCGCTGCTCCATCGGTACACGAAAGACAATTCCATGGTCCCAGAGCCCTTCCTCTGGCGTTTACTCGAAAGCATGGCATACGCGTGCTTAGCCATGCAGCAAGGTGCCACGGACGCAGCAGTCGACGGCTGGCGGCAGATCATTCACCGTGATCTCAAGTCTGATAACGTATTTCTTGCGAGTGAGAATGGATCGCACTATCCCCAACCCAAAATTGCAGACTTTGGTACGTTGCATTATGCTCTTCCAGCGAATTTGACGCCACGCCCTTTGTACTGACCATGTGCTCAATCCCAGAATTTGCCTACGAAACCACAGCAGATGATCCGTTCAATCCGATTATGTGGAGAGCGCAAGGCGTCGGATGCCTTAATTGCCAAGCTCCAGAAACACATGGAGCCGTCAGCGAAGACCTGGAAAACAGCAAGGTGTTGTCACCTGCAAATGTAAGTGCAAGCATAATACAAAGATCCAATATGATCTCACCTTTCGAGATCTAAGCTTACGACCAAATCCAGGTCTGGTGCATTGGCATCACCTTGTGGCACCTAATGAACGACGGCATGTACAAAGTTGAAGTTAACCAACAGTGGGAGGAAGACGATTATGTCATGAGAAATCCGTGGGGCGAGAATCCAGAGAATTATTACAGCCAGCCTCTGCTGACAGCCGTCACAAATTGTCTTACCTATTCCCCGGAGTGGAGAGTCACACCACAAGGAATTCTCGATTTCATTGAATCCAGTGCTGGAGATGATCAAGCTGGACCGTGTATTGCTGCTCGCAATGCTGTCTCCGAGAACGATGCGGGTTTCAACCAGCAACAATGGGCGTATCGTGGCGTTCAGGATCCTGTGACAAGGGCGTGGGCGGATGTGTTGGGCGATCGAGAACAATTTGAGCAGCAGCAAGCAGCCGCACGAGAAGCCGCACAAGCAGCCGCGGCCGCGGTCGAAAGCGAACTTGATTCGGCTTCGAGTGAAGGGGAGGGAGAACAGCCACCTCCACCACCACCAGGCTACTTTGGAGGTGGACCACCGATGCCCGCCCTTAGGCCCATGACAGCTGAAGACATGCTCCCTTCATCTGAGGGTGATGGTGAAAGTGACTAGGCGTGGACCGCTGGATCACAAGTTGCTATTCGCTGTAAGAAGGATTTGGGAGATACCCGCTTTCACTCCGAAGTGTTGAAACGCTAGAGTGGTGTATGGATGTTGTGTTATATAGGAGGAGATTGCATGTGAATGAAATGACTGTTCGGGGTTGTTTATGTAGCGTCGTTTCTTCTATACCAGCGAAGCTTCGGGACGAGAATTTTTTTTCTATGGTACTTGTGTTTTATTATTTGTCTCTCTGTGATATGCGTTTGAAAGGGCTGTTAGAGCTAGGAGATGGGTGAAGTCTGGGAGTAGTAGAAGATACGGGCTCGGACGCTCTCTTTGATGCATCTCTTCCGGAATTCACTTTTACTGTCCATCCATGTCTTAGCGGCTCCTTCTCTTATCCCGTCTCTCTTGATGCTGCGCCGCAGTGGAAGAGGTCTTAGTCACTCGGTCCGTCGCCAAAATTCAGGCAGGTCGGTATCATAAAAGGCACTATCTCGTGGGTTTCCCTGCCTTTTCGTCATTTCAACCCGTGTCTCTGGCCGTGGAACAACGTCCTCCACGGGTGCTGTCGGAGAAATTTCTGCCAGTCCTCCTGCAGCATACTTGCTGGGTGTCTGAAAGTCAATCTTGGTGTTGATGTTAGTGAGTCCGTCGAAGTGTCACCTTACTCTATTGCCTTTCACAGATGGAGTGCTTCTGTATCGTGCAACGCGATCTCAGGCAACCAATATACGATCAGCAGGTAGGTGAAGTGTCATCTCCAAAATGATGGCCGCAACAAAGAGAACGACTCATGTAGACGAGAGTACCAAATCGCCTTATTGTCGCAACAGAAAGCTCAAATTTTCTATACAAAACGCTAAAGCTTGATCGAGATGTTGTAATGGTCTAAAGCAAGCGCAATGGCTGTCAAGACCGCCATGTAGCTAACCAAGACGGCCATCGCCGGGACGTCCGCCATGAAAATGGTTGGCATGGTCATGTTGACGAGTCCGGTCAGCAAGTTCGCAATCAAGAATACAGCGAGCCCATTACGGTTGTACGCCTTCATAACTCTGCTTGTGGCTTCTTGTATGCGTTGGCGTTCGCCTTCCTTGGTCTTGGCGTTGTAAAGGGTCGGGAACAAGAATTTCTCGATTAGGCAAAACAGCAACAATTGAGCTGTGTTGAAGGAACACACCCAGCAAACGTATGCCAAGTTCGCCATTCGTCGCGAGACGAACAGTCGTGGGCCATACCTCCACATTGCCCATAAAGCGAACACGAACCATAAGAGTGTCCAAATGGCAAGTCGTGGAAGAGTGCTCTCTGGCCACTCAGGCTTCAGCTGCGGCATTTGCATAGGTGGAGCTGCAGGCTTTGGTTCTTCGTCTTCCTTCTCTGCCGCTCCAAGAACTGATGCCAACCACTCCGCATCCTGATCCATGTGATCTTTAGGCGCAAGGGGGTTTCCACCCGGAGGAGGATCGCGAGTCAAGATATTCTGGCCAATGCCCATTCCGGCGATGAAAATGGCGAGATAGCCGATGAAAGAGAAGACACCTTCTCTATTCTGCGAAAGCCAGTCGCCAGGCACTCTTTCGGAGAGAATGATGTACCTCTTCATGTCAGGAACACAGAACAGGATCAGCTCGTAGCAAATGGCTAAGATGAAAGCAAAGATGTTGTACGGTAGCCATTGCAGAAGCGGCTGTAGTATTGCCAAAGCGGGAGACAAGAGCGCGAGTGTGAAGAAGAAGTTCCAATGCACACCATACTCGCTGACATGCTCTGCGTATTCAAGTCCTTTGACACTGGCCAGGCGAAGCAAGCCGAGGACGAGGAGTGGAAGCGAATGTCGCATGGCTTCCTTCAGTCTGGTAAGGATCGATCGGGTGGCGCTTATCTGCTCCTTCAGTTGTTGGCGGGCTGCAACGATGCCAGCAGCGAACACGAAAGAGCCCACTCCCAGATCCATAAGTGAGGTTCCAAACGATTCTGTCTTTGCGAATCGTCGTGGAAAGACAGGAAAGTCGACAGCTAAGATGCTAGAGCAAGTGATAATCATCATGGCACCTCTATACGCTGTGATGAATGGTTTGACTGGCAGAGGATCTTTCTCTTCCTCTTTTGCCAGGTCTTCATCGGCCTTGCCAGGAGGCTTTGCCGCCTTGGGAAGTTCAAGACTGGGCTGGAGGAAAGCGGGCACGGCTGGAAGGACGAGTAAGCCGATAAGAATGTGTGGCCCACCGGAATAGACGGTCGTGGCGAAGAGGATGGCACAGCAATTTATCAGAAAATCGGTGAGCGCCGCGGGGATGGTGTAGGGTTTGAAGAAGTGTTGGCGGGTCTGTAAGGTTGCCCACAAAAAGGCGGCGGCCTGCATAACATGTCAGAGCGTGCAAGACTTTCATGCAGGAGGTGGTCGTACTGGAGCTACCAAAGCAACATGATTGATTTCCCAAATGCCACCTCCCCCGAGAAAAGAGACAGCGGCTTCCTTTTGCGCCTTGTATTCGGGCGTCATCTTGTGGGGTTTGCGTGGAGGTCGATGGAAGCAAGGCGTGCGTATGAAAATTACGATAGCGAACGTGTGCTTCTGTAGATTTTAGGAGCGAGCGAGGAAGCTGGGACCGCTTGTAGAAGGTTGCTGCCGCTGCCGTGCCGTGCCGAGCAGGGATGCGTTCCGTGCGCGACTTTTCGGGAAGGAACAACTTCACGTCTCCTTTCGCTGTTTGTTTTCATGTCGAGTCCACGTACACACCGACTGCCCTGCCCTGCCCTGCCCTGCCCTGCCCTGCCAGCACACGATGCTCAATTCCCTGCTTTGCTGCATTGTGTTTCGCTTCCACCCCGCGCGCTGCGTTCAGCCGAACGAGGTTCCGAAGATCGTATTGTTTTGGTGTCAGCCAGCAGCTGTTGTGGACTTGAGGCTTACAATGTATCAATTAGTTATGGTATGTGATATTGTCCAGTGTAGGCCGGCGCCGGCACAGGCCCCTCGTCTCCGACTGCTTTCGGCAATCTGGAGGCACTGCATGCACGAAGCCGATCTGGCGGTGCGGCATCAACGTGCCTTCCGCGTTTGTAGGCAAACGTAACTGCAGCAACTCGAAACCTCAACACGTGCAAGTGCAAGAACGCCGAAAGGTACTCCTTCCTCGCCCAGCGCTGCACTCTCTCTGGCAAATCGACTTCACACGATCCGCCCGCAGCTTCACTCAACGCAGCTTCTCAAGCATTGCACCGACAATTCGGCCGGGCCTGATCGCGCCGACACCAACGGCTCCATGCAATCGCCACCGCCGCAGTCGTAGCCATGCCACTCCAGCAGCTGGACGCCAATCTGCGCGCCTACAGCATCCCCGCCCGTTCGCGCGACTCTTTCGCGAGCGACGCTTCCTATGCGCACACGAGAGACGAGAATTCCGCCCTCCCTCCCAAACAGCCCGGCTCCAAAACACCTCCATCTGAGCGCCTCTTGGCCCCGACCCGGTCATCTGCCGCCAAAGCTGCATCGGCCATTACGCGCCCCGGGAAAGCTCTCCCGCCATCACCGCCCTTCGTCTCGCTGGCGTCACCAGCTACAGGCCAGCCCGACACCCCACCAATGTCCCCAGCCATTGTGCCCAAGTGGTCTGACCGCGTCGTCCGCCGCATCATCTCCCGGGAAAGGGTCGCCAAGCATTCTGAGCCATCCTCGCCGAGCACGCACGCCTTGGACATGCCGCCGCTACCAGCTGTCCCCGTCACCGAAAAGCCATTGCCTTCCAGGCCCATTGCATCCGTCGCCTCGGATCTCAGTCCGTCTAAAGACAGCCGCACCTTGATTGACGCCGTTGAGAAGCCTTTGCAGATGTCGCAGGAAGGTAGCGCTCGCGACTGGCCGGCACTGACTCCGCGATCAGTGAGTGCACCAGAGCCCAAACGACCAAGTTTCAGCCGCGATTTGAAATCGACGCCGAGTGCCATCCCGCGGAGAATTTCCACTAAGTCGATCGCGCGAACCTCTGCCGATGCGGTCAAGATGCTCGACAAGCGCATGGCGAGGAACAGTAATGCTTCGGTCCTCACGCAACACTCGTCGGATCCATCCTTTGTCAGTGCAGAGGAACCCAACTTGACCGATCATACCACCGAAAGAGCTTCCATGAGTCTTCCATCGCTTGTCCACACTCCTCAACATGTCGCGCCTGCACCTCAACTCTCAACTCCGGCGCAAACTACCCAATATCCAGCCCGCATGCAATCCTTGGGACACCGCTTGGGCAATGGAAACCTCACTCAACCCAAGAGAGCATCTGGCGCAGAAATGCCGCGACGTCTCTCTGGCATCGCTGGTCCAAATACCCCGATGGCACAGCCTCGCGGTCACAGTCCATCTCCGGCAAGCTTCTCTCGTCCGAGACCCGGTAGTGGCGCTTACGCCGCACCTTTGCCTTCACTTCCGAAGGACACTCCTCCATCTACTGCCGAGAAAGTCTTGCATCAGCGGACCGCCTCGCGTATTCCGATACCGGATTCGAAGAAGGCAACTCTGGTGGACATTCGGACTCTACCTCCACCGCCAAACAGCGAAGGCAGTCCGTCATTCGGAGCGCGGCGATTGGTGTCTCCTGGCGCTCTGGCGATCCTGGATCAGGGCACCAAGCGCCGCCTGCAGCGTGCCAATACAAACGGTAGCACGGCAAGCACGGAGTCCTCGTCAACTCGGATCCTGAATCTTGATCATGTCAACGAGAAACAGCAGCGAAGCCGAAGCAAGAGCAGCTCGCCCGGAGACACCTTCGGTCCAAGCTCGTCAGACGAGGAGGAGGTCGTTACACCTGTGATGGAACCGTTCAGACTGCGCAATGGAGCAAGCTTGAAATCAGACCGAGCCACGGATATGGAAGATCAATTCAATCTGACACCAGATGAACTGAGATTCCGCTCGCTGAGAAGAGCTCCGCCTTCGAAGAGCCCATTTACTGGCCCCCTGCAGACCATTCACTCCCAAGCAACGCTAGCAATGCCTCATGCCGAGGATTCACCCACCAAGAATGCTTGTATTTCCCACTCCAACCAATTTTCCAATCTAGCTCGGCGCCTGCATCATCTCAAGTCGAGCCATGGTTCAGACAATTACAAGGACGATGATACCGAGCCTGTCAATCAGCAGGGTTCTCAGCACCTTTTGAGACAGCTACTGGAAGAGACTCAGTGCCAAGATCAGATCTGCCAAAACAGTGGCATGCCAGGACTGGACAAGGAGACTAAGAATCACCTCACGCAGACGCTGTGTCTATTGGAAGGTCACGGCAGCCCAACCCAGGACAATTTCGATCATGGTAAGCTGGAGCAGATGTTTGGCCAACTAGTACCAGGAATCAACAGAGCGTCGAAGACAAATACGCTTTTGAATGATGCCACTGCAGCAACACGGTTTCTGGAAGGCGATTCTCGCGACAGTGTTGTCGAAAATCCCTCGCCCGACCATGTTAATGGCATCGCTCACGGCGGATCAGGAGGCTTCAATGATGATGCTACTGTAGCAGAATTGCCAGCGAATGATGCCTGCCAGACGCCCGCCGTGAGCAAATGGTCTGACAGCACACCTTCCGCGCAAGGCAACTCAACAGATCTGAACCGAAAGGAGCCACAATGCTCAATCGGCTACCCGTCAGCTACCCATGCGCCAGGTGTTCGGTCACCCGCCCACCTGACCCATGGACGACAGCGTAACTCTGGATTCAGCAGCCGGAACTCATCTCCGACGCTTGGCCACTCCAAGCGCGGACCAGAAAGCATTCTGGCAAAAGGGAGCGTACAGCGAGGCCACAAAGCTGGCGAACGAGCTGGCTTTGCTCGCATGACTGCTTCGGCAGCGTCCAAGAAGATTCCCAGAGCGGCCGGCTCTGTAAGTAAAGGCTTTAAAAAGCCGGAGGAAGCTAAGCGAGGGCGACACAGTTTTATGACTGCTTCGAGGACCGCATCGGTGTCTGAAATTGCGCTCGAAAAGGTAAGCAATACCGTGAACCACCCTGTATCTACAATTCAGCGCCCTAACATTGCGCAGCCGCCACGTTCGCGATCGAAGAGCCGCACTGTGCTTGACAAGATCAACGGCTTCTTTTCACATAAGCGCGACAAGAAGACTGAAGATGGGTCCGAAGCGCCACCACCACTGCCACCACTCGATTTTGGGAACTTGTCCACCCGCACCACTGCACACATCGACGAATCCAACAGCCCATTCCCTCAACTACATCGAATGAACAGAACTACGAGCCCGCCGCTCACATCGGTGCCTGAAACATCAACATGTCCACCGTCGCAAGATCATCGCAGCTTCTCGCGCGCCAGTGACAAGTCTATGGCTAGCATTCTGCCACTTGATGGCGACTGCGATGGAACAGTTCTGACGCTTACCGATAAGCTGGTTACTAAGGCTAAACAGGAGAAGTCGGTGACGCGCAAACAACGCCTTACGAACTTCGCACATGTAAGCTACACAGCAATGAACGAGCCAAGTGGCAAAGCGTACTAACACGATGTGTAGATTCTGAACGATGCTCTGATCCACGTTCGAGAAGCCAAGATCAGCGCGGAGACTGCTCGTCAGATGGCAGACCAAGCCGAGCTGTCGTACCTGAAGACGCAGAAGGGGGTTGATATGCTGTCGAGACTCGCATCATCATTGGTTCAGGGCACAGTGCGGCGCTAGTATCGCGTGCGTACCATGCTGCGCTGCTGGTCTCGCACCTGTCTTCATGTGTTTCGGATGATTCCTTTCCCCATTTCTTGTACAGCTCAGACTCTTGACCTATCGGCGTCACTGGGTAAGAGGAGGGCAGAGCTCTTTTCGTATGGTTGCATGAAATATGATCGCACGAGAATATGGATAAACGACAGTAATGGCTGTATAGTCGCACCAGAATGGAAACGTAATGCTAATGCTGATCGTCGCTCCAACGCTTGAAGTCTGGATTTCCGCTATCGCTATGAAAATGTCTCTGCATGCAAGTAGCAGCCCTGTGCTCCAGAGCCTTTATGGATGGCTCTCTCATCACTAAGCCGCACCAGAGTATTTCGTGTCGAGGTAATGAGTCCTGGTGGCCCACATACGGCCACTCCCGACTCTCCATCTGCACCATCTAGAAGCGTGGTGAGAACTTCTTGCATATCTGGACGGCCAGAGTAAAACGTCGCGCATCTCAAAAACGGCATCTTTCTGCCAGACGTCACATCAGTCTGAGAACTCGAGGCCGAAGTCTCCGCCACCTTGGCCGCGTCTTTTGCCGGAGTGATTGCATCAATCGCGTCCGCCTCATCGACCTCATCCACGACTACGCAGCAGCAAGGTCCTTTGCTCTTATCACATTCGCAACCACATTCTTTGGGCTCGCTACCAGACTCTGTGAAATTGTCTGCGCAGGTGACGTAGATGCAGATCTTAACATCAATACTGCCGTCTCGTAGCTTGGTGAATGCCGCTTCCAGCTCATCACTGATCCACCGAGCCCAATTGCTGTCCTTCACACACCAGACGAAGTGTATGCGCCGGAGTGGAAACTTCTTGCCCTGGCTCGAGATGCGGTCTGCGAGATCTTGGAGGATTGATGCCGTAAATGTTACACCTGTGGAGCCTGCAATGAGACATATCGAATCGAATGCTGCGAAGTCCGATTGAGATCCGCCATAGGGACCATCGATAATAGCGATGTGGGTGCTTTGGGTGACCTGGGTATGCCTTTCGACGTCGCCGGCCTCTTTAGGCTCGTCAATAAGAGCCTCTGTCGACGTGTTGGCTCCATGGAAGATCTTCTTGGTGAAGCCCTGATGGCCTTTCAGCATGAAGACGAGATCTCCGTTGTGTGATCTTGGAGTCGATACGATCGTTGCAGGGTGGCTCTGCATGATGCCGAAACGTGGTATCGAAAGCAGTACGTGCGAGCCGGGTCTCCAGCGCTTGATCGCTTTGTTCGAGATTCGTAGCTTCGTAACACCGCCATCGAGCTGCACCATGGTGGCTCGGCTGATTCGAAGGTTGTTCCGAGCAAGCATAAGGCTTCTCAGAATGCGATCCGCGAGGTAGATGCCAATTGGGATGTAGACGTAAACTCTGCTCGACAAAGCCGTGCTTGGAAGGTGGAACATGAGAGCCACCACAAAGCCGAACCAGGTAAGGATGTGCTGTACAACGAAGAATTCGTAAGACAGATATCGTAAAGGAGCGAGTGTGCTAAGATTCATCCAAAGCAGGATTGCGAAAGCTGCAATGCCAGTCACTGGGCAGTCGTCTGTCTTCCATTCGAGCTCCATGACATTATACTTCTGCCAGGCCGTGCTTTGGAAGGCGAAGTGGAAGATGGCCAGCAGCAGCATCCCCCTTGCTACCCATCGATGGAGCACATTCAGACGCTCCCAAGAAGTGCCAGTCAAGGAAGCGATGACACTGTTCTTGCTGATAAGAAGAACAAGAAGAGGTAGCTGTGCTATTGCAAGCCAGCCCGCGCGTACACCGAGCCCTTGCAAATACTGTGCACCCGCGATGTTGTTGTCGGCAAACTCAAGTGCAATTATAAACGCCAGATATGACAGAACCAACAGTATCGTCCCAAAGGTAGGAATTCTCAAGAACAGATACTTGGTTGTTGGCGTGAATTGAAGATACGATGCCTCTCGTCCGACAGCCGTGATGGTTGCCAGGCCGCCCGCGAGCACGCCTTTCGGTCTAGCAGGTCTATGATATCCTCGTGCAGCGGCACGTAGTCTTTGGTGTAGTGTCAACCAGCGCGCAAAGTTGAACAAAGTCGCAATGCCCACCACAACGACGATACCGTACCAGAAATACTTGGCATAGTTCGCTCCATCGATCTTCAGATATGTGTCGTCCAGGAGATCTGAAAGGAAGTCCATGGCCTGGGTTCCGTTGGAGAAGTCGACGCCATCCGCCGAAAGAGGTGTCATGGAAGATGAGCTCGAACCTCCCATCTCCATCTCCATATCCATGTCGTCCATGTCGCCATCATCGCCATGGCGTCTGACGAGCCGCCAGATGTGCGCCATGGACAGCAGAGTTACGACGGGCCAAGATCAGAGGTCGTCGGGTGCTCGCTGTGGAATGTGGGCTTGGCGCACTCGAATTCCGCTTATTGGCATGCCGTGGCCATATGCGGTCGCTGTGTTCTGGGGACGAGTGGTGAGGATGGCCAGCTCAGTTTGAGAGGAGGATGCAGTCAAGAATAGCAGCTGCTGGAGAGATGTTGGGGAATCAGGTTCACAGGTCGTACTTGCCTCTCACAGCCTACAGAACAGAGTCGCCGTCCTTTGTTGAATTGCGGCGACGCGAACGAGCGGAACTCAACTTGCTCATTCTCAAGACGCCATGTGGGTCTCGTCTCGGCAGCACGAATCGCGTATTACGTGCCAATAGAAGGGTTGCGCAGCTGGCTCTTGGTGACGCTCCAGGCTATAATAGGTAGCTAAGAAGGCCTAATCTAGCAGTAGACCGTGTAGTATACGCTCTAGGTTAATAGATACGCTCTAGCGCTAGAGCTATACTATTAACCGCTCGAATAGGTTGCTAAGTAAGTATAAGAAGGGTTATATTAGTAGGTAGATAGGGTAGTAGTAGGTACAAGTAGTATTCGATAGAGGTCTAGGAGGAGAAGGAGGAAGGCTAGCTAGTTAGCCTAACGCTAAGCGCTAAGCCCTACCTAAGGTACTAAGACCCTAGCTTTACTTAGCCTAGTTATATACTAATTACGTATAGCCTCTTTAGCCCTAATATACGCTTCCTTTCTAAAGGCCGCGCCCTCGTAGCCTATCTATATTCTATAACCTCTATTACTACTAACTTAGCAAGTCTAATAAGCTACTTAGCCCGCGCTAAATTAAACACTTAACTACCTAATTATATAACTATATTAAACCTTACCTCTAATATAGTATAATATATAACTCTAACTACGCTATCCCTATATATAATAAACTATAAAGTAATATATATTTATAAGAATTAAGAGCCTTCGACTAATTATAATAGAAGCGCGTCTTCCCTACTATAATAGGTAGATATGCGAGGTATTGTGGCCCTACCTCCGTTCTAAGTAATATTATACCGAGTTCTTTGCGTCTACTCTTAAAAGACCTAGTAATGTCCGCTCCGAGGGTTATTCTTATTATTACGAGGGCTATTATTTACTATCGTAGTTTTACTAGCTCTAATTAGTTAGGTTTAGTAGCCTTTAATTGTTAATCTTATTTTATCTTTTTAGAAAAAATATAGCTCGTCTAGTTTCTATAGGTAAAGGCTATTATAAGTATAATAGTTAAGGTTCGCCTCGCTTAAAGGATTAGAAAGATCGAGGAGTAATCTATTATCTATAAGATCGACCCTAGCTAGCTTAGCTCTATAGTTTTGCCCTTAGTTAGTCTATTAGTCGCTTAATCTTTTAAGCGGCTTAAAGTTTTAATTAACCCTTAGTAGGTTTAATCTTTAACTTAGTTAGTATAGTGCTCTAGGCTCGTAGTGTAGGTAAGGTTAGTAATAGTAGCGAGTAGGTAATATTAATAATAGCGGCGCTAGTCGTCTTAGCGCTAACTTTACCTTGCTTTTAATTTCCTTCTTCGACTAGCGACGCTCTAACTAGTAATATACTCCGCAATACTATTACTAATATAGCCGCGCTAGCTATACTGCCCTTTAGTATAGGCGTAACGCCGTTATTATTATTATTGTTACTATTCCTACGCGCGCGCGCCGTTATCGCCGACCGACTAGGCCTTAGAGCCTTAATAGAATAAAGGATTAAGAGAGAAACCTAAATACTAAAAGAAGGGCCTTATTGCGTTAGTAAAGGGGTAGAACCCTTAAAAGAGTATATAATTAGTCGACGCGTTATAGCGCGCTTATTAACACTTAGTGCGCGTTTACGATAGTAATATAGTCTTATTGTCCTAGTTTGCCGGCCTCTAATTAGTTAGCTAATAGTACCCTAGGGGTAGTATTATTCCTAGGCGACATTATAGGCCCTTAGCCTTCTTCTTGTTCTTTATACTAGTCTAATACTTATCTAACAACTTAGCTATATCCTTAAAGGAGCCTTTAGCTTCCTACGAGTCCTATTTAGGTAAATAGCCCTACTATCTTAAGAGGTATTCCTTCTTGCCTTACCTAGTCCGGTACTTTAGAATACGTTCTATAGACTATAGCTCTTCGCTATTAGCTAGTATATCCTCGGATTTAGCAGGTGCTTTATCCCCTTCGCGTAGGTAGTACGGCTTAAGAAGGGATACGTAGAAGGTGTTATAGATAGTATAATAAGGAGGAAGCTATAACTAGTAGGCCTATGCAGAGGAGCCCTTAACTTCTCGAATGCGGAATAGGCTAATATATCTTAGTACGAGCTTAGGCCTTGTTTTGCTATTAGGTAATAGGTGTTTACGGATACGGAGGTTCTTCGTACTAAGTATAACTATATCGCCTTGTTTAAAGGTTATTAGTATATAGCGCTTATCGTAGTAGGTCTTTTAGTACTCTTAAGCCTTTATTAGCTTCTTAACTATCTTAGTATAGATCTCCCGTATCTTCTAGATACGTTCTATTGCCGCTAGTGTCTCTAGTACTTAACGCGCTTCCCTTTCCTTACGCTCGGCCTCGAGCGAGGTAAATAGGTCCTCCGGTAAGGTAGCGTTTTAGCCTATTATAGCTATATATAGCGAAACCTTAGTTAATAAATATATACTATTGTTATATATAAATTCTATAGGCTATAGGAGGTTAACCTAATCCTCGGGGTTCTTATTAATATAGCTACGCAGGTACTACTATAGGGTAGCATTCTGCCTCTCTATTTAACCGTTAGTCTATAGATAGAAGGCTATTAATAGCCGATGCTTTAGTCTTAGCTATAGGCATATCTCGCTCTAATAATGCAATGTTAGTATCGATCTACGATTAGACACTATCCCCTTAGGGGTTCCCTAATAGATATAGAAGATATTATTCTATAGCGCCTCTGCTATATTAATAGCTATCGCGCAAGGGATGAATTAGTAGACGTACTATAGTATAGTATTAGAGTAAGTATCTACGGTTCTACGGAAAGTATATACCGGGCTTAGCTAGCGTACCGTCCCTGCCGTAATAGTACCCCTATCCGACAGAACGAAGGCTAGCGTACTATATTAGCTAAACCCCTTCTTATATACTCCTTCCGCTTTTGCTCGTTTTCCTTATCGCTTGTATTCGTATTATACGTTCTTATACGTCTCGAGTATATCCTCCTCTCCTTAGTCTAAGTCTACTAGTTTAGCGCGCGTCTTCTTAGTAGCCGACTTTAGTATAGCCTTAGTATCGGAGCTAGTTAAGAAGTTTGCGTACTAGCGTCGTCTCTTCTAGTTAGATATCTCGCTAGTACTAGTGCTAGCCTGCTTACGCTTCGCTCTGCCGCTTTTATCTTATATCTTCCGTATACTAATATACTAGACTTGCTTTAGCGTCTTAGGTATAGGCATCGAGGCAGATGCCGAGGCTAGTAGGGATAAGGTGCGTACGAAGGGTTAGCCTGTCTAGATTTTTAGTAGCTTAGTCTTGTCCTTGCCTTTTAGTAGGGGGAAAGCCTTACCTTTGCCCTTAGAGGCTAGGGCGAGGGTACTAGCGTTAGCGGCGCTATACCGAGACTTAGTCTTACGCTTCTCTAATAGTTGCGGCGTAGCTAGCGCTTCTTTATTAGCAGCCGCGGTACTAACGAGAGTCTTAGACTTAATAGCTATAGCGAGCTCGTCTAGTAGGTAAAGGTATAGGTCGGCGCGTTGCTCGTCGGTAAGCGACTAGTATCGTCCTATAATCCCTATACGCCCTAGTCCGCGGTATAGCTTTACTAGATCTACGTCCTCTATAGCGTAATCGTACTTAATATCTTTTAGTAGTAGGCCCTTCTTATTACGAGTAGCAACCTAATCGCGGTCTACGCTCGGCATATAGCCTATTTATAGCTAAAGATGCGCTATACGTAGGAAATAGTCGAGCGCGATATCCGTCGGTATACTGTCTTCGTTAGTCGTATTATAGGCCTATATATTTGCAAGGGCGTAGTCTAGGATTACTACGATATCGATCTCCGTTAGCTACTCTACTATAGCGGCCTTAAAGGTAAGCTAAGACAGGGAAATAATTTAGAGCTACTTCTTATATAGGTCGTAGTTTAGGTCCTTATAGTACTTCCGCTAGCGCGCCTACTATTAGCGTAAGGAGATAACTAGCTTAGTTTCGCCTTTAATATCTAGCGGTATTATAGTCGTAATTATCGCTTAGTTGCTTACGTTATCGATATGCGTCTAGGTAACCTAATCTAGGGCCTTATAGCGGAAGGTGCCGCTACCTATAAGTATAGTATAATAGGCAATAGTAGCAATCTTATATATTCCGTTAGGATGCTACTCGTAGTATAAGTATAGCGGGCTAATTAGCTTACGCTTAGAGCGTAGATATCCCTATGCCTCGACGGAGTACGTATACTACTTTCTAAGATCCTTTAAGCCGATAGTCGTATTGTCGACCTTGCGGTATATTATTCCTAATTTAAAGTTAGATAAGCGAGTGCCTATTAGTAGTATATAATCTATTATCTTAAATCCTAGCGTATTATATATTAGTACTACTATATTAGCTTAATACTGCGACTCTAACTAGTCTTCTATACTAGTATACTATATACTAGAGCGCTAGAAGTTCTTATCCTTATCTATATTAACCGCTCTATAGCGTACCTTCTTCTTATCTATAATAGCTAGGGCGTCTTCCTAATTGTCGTCCTTATCTACCTTACCCTTATTTATCTTAGCTACTCTAGCCGCTCTATAGCGCTGCTTCTTCCCTTTTATATCTATTAGGGCGTCGTCCTTATCGTCGTCCTCCTTTTATCTCTTAGACGTATCTATCGCGTCGTCGATAGTAGATACGTCGCTAGCGTTATCGATATAGTCCTCGGCTTATATAAGGTCCTAAACGTTAGCGTCCTTAGTATCGGCTTATATAGAGTCCTAATTATCCTCGGTATCGTTAGTAGGCTTATCGTAGATAGTAGGATCGGCGCTATCGATAGGCTCGGCGTAATCGGTAGGCTTGTCTAATATCTTATTTTTTAGACCCCGTAGTAGTTCGGTTTCCGAACTACTAAACGTATATAGTTTAGTTTCTTAGCGGCGAACTAGCTCCCTAGTTCCGGTTTGGTTTTTTCGAACTATATAGATTCCTAGTTTAAACTAGAGACTATATTAGTTTTACTATAAGGACACTCTTATTCGACTGCCGGCTACGATTGCCGGCTATAATAGTAACTCTATTATATTTACTACGCTCTTTTGCCGTTACTAGGGCGTAGTTACCGTTGCTAGGGCGTAGTTTTGCTATAAGGACACTCTTATTCGACTACCGGCTACGATTGCCGGCTATAATAGTTACTAGGTTGTATTTACTACGCTTTATTACCGTTGCTAGGGCGTAGTTACCGTTGCTAGGGCGTAGTTGCCGTTACTAGGGCGTAGTTGCTATTACCGGGACGTAGTTACTATAGTTACGAAAGCTTACCTATATAACGTTACGTAGGCGGTAACAATTAGGGCTTCGCGATATTCTTATACTTTTAACTTCTTCCTCTATACCTATACCGATAACAACTACTATACGCTACGCCCCCGCCCCTTTCCCTTACAATAGCAAGAGAGAAGCGCGCCGCGCGCTAAATAGAAGATAGAACTAAAGACCGCGAGTTTGTTTTACCTAAGCGTCTAACCAAAAAGCGTAAGACTAAAAAGGAGTACTCTACGAAGAAGAATTCCGTACGAGACCGCGAGAGAAAGGACAAGATAGATAAGGATAAAAGAGCTAAGGATAAGAGAAGAAAGGCGCGGAATAAGGCATTCTATCGATAGCTAGCGCCTATAGAAAAAAGTAAAGGTTAGAATAAGAAGACAACCTAAGAGAAGGCTAAGAGGAGGAAAGAATTGCGGCTAGTTTTCGAGCGTAAAGTTCTAGTAGCGTAAGTCAATCTAGCTAGCGGCCGTAGCTAGTAGCTATAGCCGGCAGCCGTAGCCGGCAGCTATAGCCGGCATATTTTTCTTTAATACGTTAACTAATAGCATTTAGACCTATAGCCGCTACCTCTATCGATACGACCGATAGTAACGGAGATATTTAGATAGCCGAGAACAACAATGCTAGAGTTTAGGATACCGCGATAGAGCTTAATACTACGAATAAAGGAACTAAAAAAAGCGAGGAGATACTATACGTCGATCTAGTAATAGGTATAGTCTTAGGGCCTAACGCTATAGACGATAAGCGCTAGGAGTAGATCGAGTATAGTTAAAGAGACGAGATACTAGTAAAGGGCTAAGGTATAAGTCCTATCAATCTAGAAAATTATAGTTAAAGCTACTACGAAAAGCTAGTAAGGATTGGAATCGAGACTAGTCGTCTTTATATCCTCGATATAGAGTAGAAGTTTCTTTATTAGTATTAGAGCGAAGCCTTTACGTCTATAAAGGCAAAGTAGCTTGCGATTAATACGATCGGGGCTAGGTATCTAGGGACGGCAGAAGTATTACTATAGGAGGAAGGGGTATAGGTAATTATTCTATACTCGGCATATATAGCCGGCGTTCGTAGCCGGCAGATACTAATAGTTAAATAGAAAGCGTTTCTCGAAGGCAGAGTACTACTGCTATATAAAATCTTTACTAAGGCAGAGAGGGCTTATATCCGGAATCTAAGCTGCTAGTAGGATAGGTTAGTATTAGAATTCTCTAAATCTCTATATAAGCCTCCGAAGGATTACCTATTTTAGCGATACGGCTTTATCTCGACTACTCCGCAGGTACCCGAAGAAGCTCGAGCGCTCTTTAAGATCTTTACTAAGAAGCGGAAGGAGTTCGAGGATTAGGATTAGTTAATAGAGCTATTAGTTAGTCTTAGGTTTCGTAGTTAGACTCGGCCTAAGCATTTGCTTGTCGAGTGTCTTATACCGAAAGAGGATAGATTAAGACTAAAAACGAGCTTAGATTCGTTAGATATAGTAGCTCGGTTCCGTTAGTAGGAGAGAGCCGCCGTATAGAAGGCAAAATTCAGGTAGTTAGGGTAGCTAGGAAAGAAATTCTAGTAGTTAGGCTAGCTAGGGTAGCTAGGAAAAAAAATCTAGTAGTTAGGTAGCTAGGAAACAAAAAAAAAGGTAGCTAGCTATTTACTACCTAGCTATTCCTAACGATACGATGCTATAAAAGAAAGGGTGTTTCCCTATAGCTACTAGTATATATCTACTACTCCTAAGTCCTTACCTTACCGTACGAAACCTTAAAACATACCGACCGACATTGTATATATACTAGGCGCTATACTAGGAAGGGTAATAACGAGACGATAGTCGAAACAGTCTAGTATACGAGCGAGATTACGACAACGTCGAAAGGAGGTCGTATACTTACCTTCGAGCCTATTAAGTCCTAGACGACGATTAGGGCTAGATTTATCCTCTCCGAATCCTAGTAGTAGGAATTCATTATAGGGTACTACTACCTAGTCCTTACCTTTACGGAGTCTAAGTAGAAGGTTGTTCGGAGATATAAGAATATCGAGTATTAACCCGGAAATCTTCGAAAAGGCTAGCTAGGCGTATCTTTAGAAACCCGAGTATATAGAGCAGTTTAATTAATAGGTCTATAAGATATAGTTCCCTTTATACTTATGTTTAAAGGAGTGTAAACTCCGGAAGTACTCGATACGATAGGGGAGTAAGGAGCGAACGGATATATTCTAGAAGTTCTTTATAGAGGGGGCATTGTACCGTTATACGACTTCTCGACTTAAAGGTTAACTAGTAATTGTCTGCAACTTCTATAGTTCAATCTTAAAATACCCGAAACTAGGGGATAGGAACTTATCGCCTACGAACTATCTCTATTCTAAACGGTATCGGGAATCTTAAGGAGAGAGGAGAGTTAATATAGATATAGCGTTCTAGAAAGAGGTACGTCTTCTAAAATGCCGGCTATAGCTACCGGCTATAGATTCTAGCTATAGATTCCGGCTACTTAAATTAACCGTAGAGGTCTAGCTAATTATTATAGGCTACGCTTAAGGAAGCTCTAGGATTAAAGGCTACCGATTTCTCCCCCGAAGACTTTAAGTAACTAGTAAACGAAATGCTAGCTATAAACGGTCTTCCGGAAGACTTCTACGAAAGGGAGTCTATATAGAAGACATACCTATATCTTATAAACTACTCTCCCCTATTTCTCGGCGCGATAACCTAGCGTATTATATTCGAAAAGAACAAAGAGGCTACGTTAGACAATATTCGGGAGATCCTCCGTAATACTCGCCGAGTAGCTATTACTATCGATAGCTAGTTAAGCCGGACTATAAGAGCCTCCTTCCTCTCGATTATACTATACTTTATTAATTCGGATTAGAAACTCTAGGAACTTATAATCGGATTCCCTAAAATTCTAGGTTCCTATACTAGTAAGGATATAGCGAAGCTTGTCTATACGGCAATAGATAGGGTTAGCGTAATAACGAAACTGATCTCGATTACTACGGATAATGCTAGTAATAATCGAACATTATATAAGGCGTTGTATATATAATTCACTCGTATATATCTTTGAAATTACTAATTATATCGATAGGGTCGAGTACGTAGAGGAGATTATAAGGTCTATAATCTAGCTTAATCTTCCGAATATTAAGCTCGCTACAATTCCGGATACGCACGATAATACGTACGATAATAACGATAAAGAGGAGCCTATTAATAGCCCTAGCCCTATTAAATCGGAGCCGACGTCGTTGTTAGTTACATCCCTATAGAAGTTTCCCTACCTCGCTTATATAGTTTAAATCGCGATCCGAGCCCTCTTTAAGACGCTTAAAATTGTACTATTAAACGACGACTAATAGAAGATCCTAGATAAGGATAAAGCAAAGTCGAAAGTCGAGAAACTTATTATAGTAATAAGACGGGATAAGGCAGAGAGCCTCGCTCTCGTTTTATATAAGGTATAACTTTTGTCCGTAGCCGGCACCTATAGCCGGCAACCTAGTATAGTTCTAACTCTTTTTCTCTAGCTTCGTCGTTTAGCAATATATACGAACTCGAGCTTATAGAGATATAACCGATTCGAGGCTATTTAAAAGAACCTAATCGAGCGCCCTAAAACCGATGCCTAGAATATCGTATAGAATAAGCGATAGTAAAAGCGGCCTCCTTAGCGCCTACTCCGTTTTACCTAAGACGTTAAGACCTAGTTCGATTCGACTTTCTATATAGTTACGAGGGGATATACTTTACGTACCGCTCTCGAGATCTATTAGAGTTCCGAGGATATTAAGTAGCTCGGCCTTACCGCCGCCGAATAGCGCTAAGCAGAGTATCTCGTCGATATTAGTAAGTATTACGCGAAGGTTACTACTACGATTAGAAGAACCCGAGGACCGACGATCTACCTTATCTTTACGTACTATAACTAGCTCTTTAACGAGCTCGAGGAAACCGTAGCTAAGCTAGCTAAGAAGAGCGTTCCCTAGAAAGTAGCTATAACGAAAGCTATAGACACCTCCTATACTAAGTTATATAAATATTATAGTGCTACCTTTGACTCGTTCGAGGATATCTATAGCGTTACGTGCTTACTTAACCCGGTAGAAAAGGATATATACTAGTAGAGGCCGGAATAGAAGGCGGACGAGGTATAGCTAAAGCATTACTAGACTATTCTAGAAAAGATATTCTACGAGCGTCGGAAAGAAACTAGTCTAAATGCAGCTCCTATAAAGAAAAAGAAGGTTTAGAAGGCTCCGACATTATACCTGTTTTATAGGTAGGAAGTAGAGGCAGAAGAGGAAGCAACTACTAAAGTAAATAAAGAAGAGTTCGATCTCTATCGGCGCGCGAGTAAGTACAAATCCGTAGGCTCGGAAAGAGGGCTAATAATCTCTAGATCTTACCGGTCTTCTAGACGAATTCGGAGACGATATTCTCGCTATATAGTAGCGGTTAGAGCCTAAGTTTCTAACGATAGCGTCGGTCGCTTAGGACGTCCTCGCTATCCCGAGCGTAGGTATAGGCTATAAGAGGTCTTTTAGTATCGCTCGTTACTAGGGCCGCTTTAATCGAATATACTCGCCTACTACCTTCGAATCTATTATAGTATTCCGATACTATCTCCTCTACTAAAATCGCTAAGGTAGGTTACTAAAGATTATATTAAAGGAGTTAATCGAGGAATTAGAAAACCTTAAGATCGAAGAAACCTAGGAGCGCGAAGAGAATACGAAATTTAGTCTAAGCGAAACCCTAATTAGCGATAACGAAGAGGAGGAGGGCGGAGGTAGAAGGCGATACCGGGTCGAGAAGCGGAAACGTATATAGGCTTAGAGTAGCTTTAAGGAGACGAAGCGTTTACGTATAAGGTAATATAGCCGGTATATATAGCCGGTATATATCCGAAATGTATTTCGAATTCCTAGGACCTAAACAGACTAGTTGCTATAGCAACCGACCCCGCTTACCTACGGACTATTTCTAATTCTCTATTCGCTCTTCCTCTCCTTCTTCCCTTTCCCTATATTCTTAAAGACAAACATACCTTAAGGATTCGGCTCTTCGGGCCTTCCTAAGCCGGCTACTTCCCCTTCCTTAAGCTACTATCCTTTATTCGAATCTAACGATAACCTACTAAGGCGGTTTAATAGAAGACTATTTATTCTAGAAGATAAGAAGCATTAATGTCTCCTTACGATTATATACTTATTAATTTTCTAGGTCCTACCGATATGCCCTCGTCGCCTAAACGCGTAGATAAATATCTTTAGAGGCTAAAGGGCAAGGATAAAGCAAGCTAAGTATAGGGAGACTATAGCGAGAACGAGATATCGGAAGAGTAAGGCTCTCCGTAGTATATACGAAGGAAGGGGGTTCTTCGGAAAATAGTACCGAAAAATAAGAAGGCTATAGGTAGATAGGAGAAGGCTAAAAAGAGTAGGCGGACAAAGACTATCGCAAAGAAAAGTTATCTTTCTATTAAAAGAAAGGGAATAAGGCAGGACTTAACGATAAAGAAGCGGCGCTTTAAACTAGGTACTATTGCCCTTCGCTAGATCCGGCTTTTCTAAAACAAAAGAAGGACCGAGCTTTTAATCCCTAAGACTCCCTTCTAGCGACTCGTCCGAGAAATTATATTAGATTTTCGGTCTAGTATACGATTTACGGCTAAGGTAATTAGTGCTCTTTAGGAAGCTGCGGAGGCATTTCTCGTAACCGAGCTTAAGCTTTTAAACCTCCTTGCTATCTATACGAAGCGGGTTACTCTTTAAAATAAAGATATATAGCTTCTAGCTAAAATTCGGCGTCGGTTTATAGCGGATTAGTTAGAAATTGTATTTAGTCGTTAGATTAACCTAGGAGGAGGCCTATTTTCGCATCCTTTTACCGGCTATAGGTACCGGCTATATTTCTGATTTTATCTCCGCGCCGTCCCTAAATCTAAGGTACGAAGTAGAAACCTAGCGCTCTATATTTACCCGGCTATTATAGAGACGAGCTATATTTAGATTAGTTTCTTCGTATATCGCGACCTAGCGGGTAGTAAGCGAAAGGGCGATAGAACGTTTATAATACGTCTCTATTTAGACCTAAAATACAAAGGTCCTAAGGAGCCCTAGCATCCTAACTATAAGGAGATTCTTTAGTATTAGCACTTTGATCCTCTATACTACGAGGTAGATAGCAAGCCTACGAGAGAGAAACTTTAACGAGAAATTCTCTATAATACGTAGCGTTATTATATAGCTATAGATGTGTACTAAGTCCGGTAACTCGAAGAAGAATTAAGACAGCGTATTAGCGACCGAGGAAGAGATCGATAGTATACTAGTAGAGTCGAGGTCTTATAAGCGAAGTATAAGATAATATAGGCTCTTAGTCGTATAGAGTAACGTACTATATAAATAACTAGGCGTACTACTCTTATTTACTTACGACCTATATCCTAGGATGCTCTTCTCGTACTTTTTATACTCTTTTCTAATACCTTACCTATAATCGCTCCGCGATAACCGAGTAAATATAAGCTATAGGATTTCCGCTCGGTACCTTAGCCTTCGAGATACGGCGGAGTTAATTCTCTATAATACGTAGCGCTATTATATAGCTATAGATACGTACTAAGTCCGGCAACTCGAAGAAGAATTAAGATAGCGTATTAGCGACCGAGGAGGAGATCGATAGTATACTAGTAGAGTCGAGGTCTTATAAGCGAAGTATAAGATAATATAGGCTCTTAGTCGTATAGAGTAACGTACTATATAAATAACTAGGCATACTACTCTTATTTACTTACGACCTATATCCTAGGATACTCTTCTCGTACTTTTTATACTCTTTTCTAATACCTTACCTATAAGCGCTCCGCGACAACCGAGTAAATATAAGCTATAGGGTTTCCGCTCGGTACCTTAGCCTCCGAGATAGGGCGGAGTTGAATTTAGAGCGATAGCCGGCACTCGTAGCCGGTATATAGAGACGGTAGTAGGCCTTTTCCTACTAAATAACTAGCTTGTTTAGTATAGCCTACCTAATATTTCTTATATTTACTAGCAATAGGCCTAGGTTACTTATAAGATTACTATAGCTAGTAAAAGTATTACTAAAGAATATCTATACTATAGTAGGATACTATTATTACGCCGGCTATTTATTAAAAGGAGGCTTTCGCCTATTACTATACCGGCTATATATGCCGGCTATATTTCAAAGTCTGCCGTACCTGCCTTTTTTAGCCGTACCTGCCTTTTTTAGCCGTACCTGCCTTTTTTAGCCGTACCTACCTTCTTTCCTTACTCTAACGTTACTATAATATAGGCTTACGCGAAGCTTACTCTATTGCCTAGCGATACCGCGATACTACCGCTATATTCAACCTTCGTATCGATACCTATACCTCTACGCTCTATATCTACTACCTCCGTAATACCCTCGCTCCGCGCGCGCCTTCGTATACCTTCGTAACGTACTTTTTTCCTTAATTCGACGACTTTTATAATAGCGAGTCTACTTAACTAAGTTACGACGCCTCGTAAGAAGGGACCTAGTACTTCTACGGGTCGCAATAAGACCGGAAATAGTAGAACGAGTATAGTATATTAACGTAAGAGGGCTACTACTACTACCGCTAGCTCCGGTGCTAGAAAGGGCGTCGCGAGTAAGGCTTTACGTAAGATAACGGCGGGTAAGGCTCTACGCAAGACGACAACTAGCGCTTCTACTACTAGTAGCAATTATACGAAGCGTCGATAGCGCCTAGGAAGTAAGTCCTATTTATAGCCGGTAGCGTAGCCGGTAGCGTAGCCGGTAGCGTAGCCGGTATTCTTACTGTCTTTTTACTAATCCTTCTTTAGCTATAGCCCTCCGTAAGATTCGGTAGTATTAGAAGAGTTCTAAGCTCCTAATCCGTAAAGCTCCTTTCTAACGACTTATTCGCGAAATTGCCTAGGATTATAGATAGACCCTATAGTAGTTCGGTTTCCGAACTACTAAACGTATATAGTTTGGTTTCTTAGCGGTATCCCTCCGGTTTAGTTCCGGTTTAGTTTTTTGCCCCGCTAGTCTAAGCTAGTTTCCGAGCAAACTGCGACGATATACGACGACCTCGGAACGAGTCCGGGACGCGACGGGAGCCCTATATTGTATACGCTATACGATTGCATCTGTGTTTCGGGCTATTTAGACGTGTTTTAGGATAGGTTTTTATCCGTAGCCGGTACGTAGCCGGCAAACCGGTCCGTGCACCGGTTTCTTAGCAAACTAAACTAAACTAAACTAGAATTTCGGCTTAGCAAACCAAACCAAACCAACCCGGACCACTGCGGGGTCTAATTATAGAACGGACCTTCGCTTCTAAGCCTCCGCGATAGGCGCCCTTTAAGAGGCTATAGAAGCCTACCTAGTTCGTATCTTCGAATATATATTTCTCTTCTACCTCTTTTCGGACTATACTAATACTATTTTAGCGGTTAACCTTATAGCTATCTACGCGAAGCGTATAACGATTATAGACAAGGATTTCAAAGCACTCGATTAGATTCTAAAAGGCTAGAATGTCTATATTCGGGACGGTACTAGGTAGGATAGATGTTCTAGTAGGAAGGATGTTCGTAGTATTATCTACAAGCTTTTCTATATACGAAATAAGCCGCTGTTATACGGTGCTATATACCGCGCTCTAAATACTCTCTAAGTATATATATATAGTATAGTATGCTTTATTAGCCGTACGGAATAGAAGTCTCCTAAAATCCCGTTAGTACTAAGAAGTAAAAAGGCCGGCTACGCTGCCGGCTACGCTACTAGCTACGCTACTAGGTTTTTTAAAGAACTAAAAGAAGATAGACATTCCGGTTGATTTGTATTAGTTTAGATTTTTATAAAAAGAAAATAGGGAAAAATAAGGAAGGTTAAAGAGCCTAATAGTTATAGTTATAGGCACTATCCCTGTTTTCTAGAGCATATTATACACCTGCCTTCGCAACTCTACCTAATACTCCCTCTAAATATCCTTATACTCTACCTACTAGAAATTCAACTAGGTACCTAGACCTATAGCTGCCTCTATATCTTTTACTATCTTCTATAGGTTAAAGGCCTCTTCTATAGTAGCCTCTACCTCCTTATACAATACGAAGTTACTACCTGCCCTACCCTTTATATCTCCTAAATAACTAAGAGTTCTAAGGAACGAACTAGTATTCGGCCTTAATATAGCGAGTAACTAGTAGAACGTTCTATAGAGCTGCTTTATAGCTCTTTTATATACTATACCGATACCGAGGGAG